GTTCCTGTCAGAGCTCTCTCAGCCCCGCCTACCTCCCAGGGTATCTGTTGTGGGGAGGGGAAGGGAGTGGAGTTTGTAAGCCACTCGGAGACTCCCTTGGGTAGTGAAGGGTGGGGTAGAAATCCAATCTCCTCTTCTTCACTCCGTTTGTGTACACCAATCCTGGCTTTGTTGGTCTGCTGTCACCAGTCCTAGCCTTAACACAGGTGAGGTCATAACTCTGTAGTGAAGGGTGATACCAAGCAGAGTTCTGACAGAGCTGTTCTCTCAAAGGCAGTCCTCGAAAGAGCTCTCTCAGCCCCACCTACCTCACAGGGTGTCTGTTGTGGGGAGGGGAAGGGAGAGGAGTTTGTAAGCCACTCTGAGACTCCCTTGGGTAGTGAAGGGCAGGGTATAAATCCAATTTCTTCTCCCCCCCCCGTCAGATCTCAGAAGCTAAACAGGGGTGGCCGTGGCTATTATGGTGTAGTGGTTAAGTGTGTGGACTCCAATCTGGGAGAACCGGGTTTGATCCCCCACTCCTCCACGTGCAGCTGCTGGTGTGACCTTGGGTCAGTCACAAGTTCTCTCAGAGCTGTTCTCTCAAGGGCAGTCCCCGAAAGAGCTCTCTCAGCCCCACCTACCTCACAGGGTGTCTGTTGTGGGGAGGGGAAGGGAGAGGAGTTTGTAAGCCACTCTGAGACTCCGAGTGAAGGGCAGGGTATAGATCCAATCTCTTCTTCTTCTCTTCCTATCCCATGACCTGACATGGTTATAGCTTAGTGGGTCCTCCTATTTTGCCCCATAGGGATTGAAAGGTGGGGCCCTGATATGTAAAGACCACCGGTCTAGAACACCACCATTAACAGTGGCTGGGATGTGTCCCAAGGGGTGGCTGAAGCCATTTGCAGCGTAAGAGTCCTGTGCCAAGGAAAACCAACATTCTGTGAACTGGGCATGTTATTTGTCCGTTTTGCCTGTATAATCAGCCTCACTGTCAGAGGTGGGGGGAGGAGCTATGCAGAGCGCTTGCTGTGCTTTGTGCTCCACTGCTGGGAGCCCCAGACCGTCATTCATCCCTCACAGGCTTCAGGCTTCTGAGCCGACGTTGACAGCCACAGACACGTGTATTTTATTTTAAAGAGAGGAAATGATCAGGCAACGCCGTTTTGTACCGCAACAGTGAAAAGTTGAACACCAAGTCCTGCGCTAACTTTTAAACTTAACACCTTGCAGCATTCCGGACGGGGGCTCTGACTCAAAACTGCAGAAGGCCAGCAAGAATGAAAGAGGCGCTTCTCTTCTGCAGCAGACACCGTTCCACCTTACTTGTGGTCAGAGAAGTTAAATGGGGCAGTTTTCTTGACATAAAAGCCCAATCCCCCCCCCCCTCCAGGCGGGACTTCTGCAGAACACCGGATTCTCTCCTGCATCCTGCAAAAAGTCCACCATGGAACAGCGATCCAAACGCTGACATATCACACCAGAATTATTGAGATAGTTACTGTCCCCTCTTTACCTCCCTTTCTAATAATGCGGTGGTGAAGAACAAAAAGTCATCTGATTTTTCTTTAAAAAAAACACCCCTCTGAAGCGGAGATACCAAGCAGGGTTGCCGTTTATTTACAGGAGCATTCCACAGTCCATGGATGGTAAGAAGAAAAAAATTACAGATTGACAGTTTCTTTTTTTTTTAAGCTACCTACCTGTACAGGCTGAGATTACATATGCAAAACTGGAAAAAAAATAAAAAAAAGTCAAGAGACCACAGTACATTACTTACTTCAATGATTTCTGCACGTGTTCAAAAATATATATATATCAGATGGGTGCAGTTTAGACATCATCGACAAATTAAAAACCTCTCATGATCAGTCCACTCATGATAGCATACAGGCGCTTTTTTTCCCCTCTTCAAGTGAAACAGGCCTACCGTAAGGGTGCAAGTGCAGATACAGAGCCCTCGTGTGCATATATCTCGATCCTTTAAAAAAAAAAAGAGAGAGAGAGAGTGTGCCGGATCCTTCCTCCACATCCCGAAGTTTGTGTTCAAAATACCCTCGGTTGCCACGCCTCCAAAGTTCCCTCTCAGTCCGAGTGGCCTCAGTCGCCAGCGTGGAGGTCGGGCGAGGGTCTCCGTTCTCCCCAGTCCTTTGCGCTAACGTAGAACTTTTAAAAAACAGCCTGGAGCTTCGTACACAATTAGAGCTGTGCCGCTATTTGCTGCCAGGCAGGGAAGGAGAAACGAACCCGGTGTGAACCGAAGCACATCTGTCTGCTCCCCGGTTTAACTTGCTCCGAATCATTCACGTAAATACGGTCAAGTTTCATGTGGAGTCACATTGTCTGACAGGGCTTGCGTGGCTTACTTGGGCATGGGATCGTATTTGCAAAAATACTAAGGCGAAGCACAGGTTTTGCTTTGTTTGGCCGGGCAACATTCCTGCGAGAGTCGCTCTGGGCAACTACCCCCCCCCACCTTCGAATCCTTTCTGCCTGGGACGCTTCAAGCCCCTGGACCCAGCAGGGACGTGGGTGGGGAAGAGAGACGAGTGCGCATTAATAATCCCTCACTCCCATCTCCTAGTCCAGCCCGCCGGGCCCTCCCTGCTCCTCGGCATCTCCTGCTCTCAGTAGCTGCAGGGCAGGAGGACCTTCCAGACACCAAGGCCTGGACGCCCAAAACGACTGAAGACCACCAGAAAAAGACACAGAGTGCCATTACCACAGGGGAGGGGGCACGCAACCATGTGGTAAGGCTGTTCCCCCTTCTGCCTGCAGCTGGTATTGGCGTTGGGGTCACGATGAAGTACTGGCCTGTTTGGGATGAAGCTAGGCCAAGGTGGCCCTTTCCTCCCACATGCTAATCTTCTACGGGCAGGGCTTAAATACACACCGGGGAGCATTCGGCCACAGGATTTCCACTTCCACAGCTGGAAGTGACGGCCGGTGATGCTGCGTGGTGCACCGTCCTCCTTTGGCTGCCTGTTGTGGGACCGAGCTCGGGGCATTCTCCGGTGGCAACGCAGTACCCGTGGCCAGATTCAAGTAGAGGCTTTCCCCTCCCAGCAGCTAGGGGGAAGGAGCGGGAAGAGCGCAGGCTCCTCCGATGAGAGTCGGCCACCACCGGCAGGCAGACACCAGGGCCTCGGAGGGTCTGCGCCTCGTGCACAAGCTGGCCCCACAAGTCCGGTGTAGGGCAGCCTCAGACATAAACGAGTGGCCCCTTGCCCCACTGCGCTAGCCTGCTCGAAAAGACCCATCGGGGGGAAAGCCTGGTTTTGGATTAGACCTATCGGGGCGGAGGAGACAATATGCAAGGAACTTGGTGGGCAGAGATGGCGAGGCTCTTCCCGGAAGTTTGCTAAAAGTGAAAGAGGAAGCAAAGAGTATTGGGGGTGGGGAGGACTAGAAATCAGCTAGTCTCCAACTGCAGCGCCATGAAATTTCAAGCTTCCATCTGCAGGTGTATGGCACTGGATTTTAAAACTGCAGATATTCGCAGAAGGGATAAAACCGGAGCCAGAAAGGAGGGCCACGAGGGGGATGGTATACAAAAGAGGAGAAAGAAATGGCCTCTTCCATGCGCTGAGTGCCCGTGTTCTCCCTCCCCCACTTCAACCCATCCACCCCCAAGCCCTTCGCTGTTAACCCTCCAGCAAGGGTCGCTTCGATTCACTGAATGAGTGATCCGTGACAAAACCGATCACTCAACCACGCCACAGTAGGAAAGAGCTAACAGCCGATGGGCCACGATCCAGCGGTTCTCTCTGGGCCACACGAACTTCTCCCTGGGAGGTGTTCAACAGCATTGCTGAGTGGCACTCAACGAGATGGGCGGGGGGGCCTTGTGTCCCCTTCATCATGCACAGCGACTACACTTGCGTACGAGAGATGTGCAGAATAGGACCCGCCGTTGGCTCTCCATAAGCGGGCAAAGTAGACGGCAGGCGGGCGGGTCTTGAGGCACAAGTTGGGAAACCGCTCTCTCTGACGGCTCCCCAACGTGCATCCAGAGGGGGCTCCCACATGACCACAACGCCGTTTTATGCCAGACCTTGGAGATGAAGCCCCAATCGGGAAACGGATGGCGATGACAGCCACGCCCCCGCCCCCCCCCGCCTCCAGATATGCACTAATCAGGCGGTGCTGCCATAACAGAAGCCACGCTTTTGCTGTCGTCCGCAAACGCTGCCTTCTGACAACCGGACACAGCAGAAGCCCAGAAAGAGGGAGGGGAGGAGGCAGACGTTGAGTTGAGGAGGAGGCAGACGGAAGGGCCGGAACAGAAGGGCAACGGCAGTTTCTCAGCCCCCCCAAAACCCTTCCGCTCCTTCCCAGGCTGGGCCTGGCAGAACAAAAGGCCGCCGGGAAACGAAAGCGAGCCCGACCCCCTGCTGTCTCTAGCGTTGCTCTGCGATATGATGTCGCTGCGTATATAGCCATGATTGAACGTCCACCAACACCACAATAAATAGAGACGTGTGTGGGGGGGCGGGGGATGGTCACACCCTGGCCGGTAGGCGTGGCTCAATCTTCAAGGCCCCGCCTCAAACCATGCCCACCCCCTCGGCCCCGGTAGTCCAGTGCTTGCGTTCCACATCCAACGGACACGAAGGTGAGCTGGAAGGGGTAGGGGTGAGGAGGGACGGGGAGACATGCAGAGGGGGAGACGTAGTCTGATCTCCACTCCTCCGTGCCGGGTCCAAAGGGGCTGAAGCGTGTCCCCCTGCCCCCCTTCTTCCTGGCTGTCCCTGGTCTCAGTCACTCAGTTGATGTCGTCGTAGAGGCTGGGGGTAGGAGGGGCCAGCGGCTTCGGCTTCAGCTTCTTCTTGTTGGAGCTCATTCCAGGAGCCCCTCCGACCAGGCTCATGTGAGGCTTCTTCTTTTTGGTTTTTCGGGACTCTGAGTTGTTTGTACCTGGGGAGGGGGAGGAGAGAGAATGTCAAAAGTCAGGGGGCCCGGGCTAATCAGCCTTTGCCCCAGGCTCCCAGTGGCTTGCCGTATCAGACTGGCTTCCTGACACCACAATCACTGCCCCCCCGCTTATATATCACATGACCCCTTGAAGTTGCCTGATACTGAATCAGACACCCCCACCCCCCAGTCTTGTCCACTCAGACGGGCAGTGGCTCTCCAAGGTCTCAGGCAATGCTCCCTCTAAGCTGTGGAGTCCTGTGAGCAAAAATTCTACTCTGTGAGCTACTGGCAAAGTTGTGAGCGAGCGATTTGGCTACTGAATAAATCAGTTTGCTCTGGAGCCCTCCTTCCTGAGCCGAGACAAAGATGTGTGAGCCGGAGGCTAAAAAACTGTGAGCTAGCTCACACTAACTCAGCTTAGAGGGAACACTGGTCTCAGGCAGAGGCCTTCCCAGTTTGGTGGTTAGGAGCGCGGACTCTAATCTGGGAGAACCGGGTTTGATTCCCCGCTCCTCCACATGCAGCTGCTGGCGCGACCTTGGGTCAATCACAAGTTCTCTCGGAGCTGTTCTCTCAAGGGCAGTTCTCTCAGAACTCTCCTAGCCCCACTGACCTCACGGGGTGTCTGTGGTGGGGAGGGGAAGGGAAAGGAGATTGTAAGTTGCCCCAAGACTCCGAGTGGAGGGCGGGGGGTATAACCCAATCTCCTCCTACTGCCAGATCTTTTAACTGGAGAGACCGGGGATTGAACCTGGGACTTTCTGCGTGCCGAGCAGATACTCAGCCACTGAGCCGCAGCAAAGGTCATCCCTTCAGCGACTCTCCACTCAGCAAGGGAGCCATAGAAGACGAGTATGGGAGGGTCCAAATCCCCTCTCTGCCACGATGCCTGCCGGTTGGGGCCTCCAGTTCATCCGTACTCTCACCCCGTGCTCCCTCTAAGCTGTGGAGTCCTGTGAGCAAAAATCCTACTCTGTGAGCTCCTGGTATTAAAACTGTGAGCAAGTGATTTGGCTGCTGCATCAATGAGTTTATACCAGACCTTGATATAAACCATTTTTGGTATAGACCATTTGTCCTTCCTGAGCGGAGACAAAAACGTGTGAGGCGGAGGCTAAAAACCTGTGAGCTGGCTCACACTAACTCATCTTAGAGGGGACACAGCTCTCACCTGCACAGGAATATTGTGGGGATGGAATGGGGCAGCGAGAATCATGTTATCAGCTCCTCGACGGAAGGGGCAGGGTGCAAAGGCCCTGGGCGGGCGGCCTGAACCAAAACGCCTTCACCAAAAAGCATCTGTAATTCCACCTTGAGTCCTCGTGAGAAAGGCAGTTCCTATCTATACCTTGTGGCTAATAGCGCCCGTCAACAAATCAATATTTTAAATACAATTAATGAATACATTTGGTTTTTAAGGGCTAACAAGATTTGATTGAGAACAAAGTCTGAGTCCGGCAGCATCTTTAAGACTAGCAGAGTTTAATTCTGGGCGTAAGCTTTCGCGTGTACACGCACTTCCTCAGGGACACCGAAGCAGGTTTCCTCAAGCCTCATGTTACACGAAAACTTATACCCATAATTAAAATTTGTTGGGCTTCGTCTGGCACTCCTAGGATACGCCGCAAAAACATTGCCTGGATCTGCTCGACATGTTGGTTAAAGGAGCCGATCCAGATGGGGATCCCATACAGAATTTGGGACACAACCCTGGCTCCTTTAACCAACATGTCGAGCAGATCCAGGCAATGTTTTTGCGGCGCATCCCAGGAGTGCCAAATTGTGTAAGCTGTGCAGCTATGTGCCTGGAGACAGGACGACATCTGCTTGAGACCAGAGCCTGGCTATCAACTTTGAAATTTTGGCTACATCTCCACTTCAGAACAAAACCTGCTATTATCAGAAACATTCACATCCAATGGGACAAACTCAGTTCTGAAAAAAAAAAAATACAATCAATTGGCCTCTCCCTTGACTCCCTGCTTCTGTCAGGTGAATCCCAGATTTCCAGGTCCTTGAGGCAGAGAATGTTCGATGTTGAGAAGTAAACTCTCTGTTCTGGACTCGCCCCTTCCCCTCTGAAGTTTAACATAACCCCGAGAAATGGGTTTATAACTGATTATTTTTCACAGCTCGCCGCTCCATCACTAAGACGAGCTTTTATGTTAGCACGTTTTGATGCCCTACCGTCAGAGGTCCTTTACGGTAGATCGACCAATACTCCCTACCTCGAAAGGACCTGCCCATCTAACAGCAGGAACCCAGAATCGACTGCTCACATCCTACTCGGCTGTGAATTTTATAACAGGATTTGGGCTGTTCTAAGCCTGGCCGAGGAGGATCAGTAGCAGCGGACAAAGTTCCTCAGGGACAGCTTTCTGGCAGTCATGGATCTCCCCGCTGATTAACCCAGGACTTCCTGGGGAGACACTATCAAAACCAGTGACCCGAAGACTCTCTTCACGGCCCTCCAGGGCTATGGGCAGTCAACAATGTGAAAGCAAAGAAACTGGTATTTTTGAGATCCGGAAGCTACAGTTGTCACTCACCAAAAACAAGCCCACCCACCCTAGCAAGTCTGAGGCCACAAACTCAGGCTTTGGCATAGTGGTTAAGTGCGTGAACTCTAATCTGGGAGAACCGGGTTTGATCCCCCACTCCTCCACTTGCACCTGCTGGATGACCTTGGGGCAAGCCATAGTTTTGTCAGAGCTGTTCTCCCAAGGACAGTTCTCTCAAGAGCTCTCTCATCCCCGCCTACCTCACAGGATTGTCTGTTGTGGGGAGGGGAAGGGATGGGAGTTTGTAAGCCGCTCTGAGGCTCCTTTGGGCAGTGGAGGGCGGGGTGTGAATCCAATCTCTTCTCTTCTTCTGAAAAGGGCACAGGGTGGGCATTGCCCAACGATCCCCAGGACTGGGTATGGTCTGAGTAGGGGAGTGATGGGAAAGAGCAGGAACTTCCAGTGGCTTTCAGCGTCTTGCACGGACTGCCGCAAAACAAACACACGCGAGCGAGCCGTTCAGCCTTCGTAGGTTTACCCTGGAGCAGTTTTTTTAAAAGACAAGGCCGCTGACGAAGGCTTCTGACATCCACGTTTACGCCTGGATCCGCCAACACGCCCACCCGCACGCTTACTTGCTTTCGAGGAGGCGGAGTCAGAGGGCGAGATGTCTGAAGACCCGTCCCACTGCAGTCGGCTCATGAGGGCCTGGCTCTCGGCCACGTCGAAACTCTCGTTCTCCATACTTCCTTCCGTCTCGGGAAGTGAGCTGGGAAAAGGGGCAGTTGTGTGAGAGGAGCGGAAGCGATGGGCTGCCCACCCGCAAAAGCATCACAGACGCTCCCCCAACTCTGCGGCTTGAAAGCAAAATGGGCCAAAACTGGGGTTGCCAACCTCCAGGTGGTGGCTGGAGACCTCCTGGGATTACAACCGATCTCCAGGCGACAGAGATCAGCTCCCCCTGGAGAAAATGGCCGCTTTGGAAGGTGGACTCCAGGGCCTTCTACTCCACTGAGGTTCCTCCCCTCCTCAAGCCCCGCCCTCTCCAGGCTCCACCCCCAAAACCTCTGGCACAACCACAGTCGGTTAACCTCTCCTTCTCCACGCTCCGCCCTTCCTCCCCAACCAACTGGTTTGCCTTTCTCAAAAAGAGGATGCTGCGACAGTTGGCATAAAATTCAGTAACCAAGCCACCTCCTCAAGATCACTTTGCAGACTCGCTTTCCCCTCATATTAAAATATTAGATTTTCTGTGGACAGCGCTGCAGGACTGTGGAACTGGCTGCCACATGATACGGCCATGGACACCAGCTTAGATGACTTTTTGCTTTTTTAATTAAGAAAAGAAAGCACTAGGTCTTTTCCGCATTCTCATTTTCCTCACTTGTAATTCCTGTTTCCTGGAGAGAGGGGGTCTGTCCTGCACGTGGTTTGCTGCCCCTAGTGGTCCATTCGATATTACACTTGTTTATTTCTGGCATAAAAACCTGTGGTTAAAATCTTCAGGGAGATACACTGGACACACACCAATGTAATATCAAAGCACCTGCACCCCCACAACAGATACACCCCCTGCCAAAGAAACAGGAACTTACAAATGAGGAGAACTTACAAAACATAATCTTACAGTGGCTGTAAACAGAGATAGTTAAATGGAGCCTTTTAGATGTCAGGGGTCTACAATTTGTGACTCACTACAAAACCAAATATGGCAATGTCAAAAGAAGAAAATGACAAATTAGGTACAACGGCAGAACAACTAGTCTCCGAAGGGAATGTCAGGAAAAGAGTTTTACAGGTCTAAATGGTCCCTTAGAGATGCCTGATATAAAAAAACCCGAAATGACAGAGGCGCAGAGTTGCCATTAATCCAAGGGCAAGCCACGTGCAGATTCATGCCAGTGCATAAAGACAATCTCCCAGGGTGCTCTCTGTGCATATTTATTACTTATCATGAGACCTCCTAAGTGCCGTTTCCTAGTAAAAGACTCACAACAACCAGTGTTCGAGTTGCAGAAGCTTGACATATTTTCAATCCATCTGTAAATCATCAGCAATGTTAAACTGTATGCAAACGGGCTTTTCTCATAGGCTTTCTCATACTGGCTCTCTGAACACTTGCTCTAAATTTGGGTGTGGCTTGGCTCTTTCATTGCAAAAGGTTGCACACCACTGCTTGGGATGTTTACAGGCTAGGAACAAGCCCGCCACCTCCACGCTCCGCTGTGAGCGTCCAAGAGCACCCGGCTGCTTGGACCAAAGGGACCAGCTGAGCAGCAGTAATCCTCATGTTATCACAGCAAACGCTCTGTAGGCATCCTGCCCAGCCCAAAATCAGGATGGACAAAGAGGTGAATCCCTTCTCCCCTAGCTTGCAGACATGCAATTGAGATTTTTAATCTGCACTAGTCACTGTTGTTTTTGGAAAGTGGGTGGGCAGGTACCAAGTTGGCTCTTCGCTTTTTTCCCGTTTTCCTTCCCTTAGTTATTGTATTGTTATAGTTCTTAGTTTCCGTTGCTTACGCATTTTATTATATTGTGAGCTGCTGTGAGTGTCCCTTGAGGGCAGAAGAGGCAGGATACAAATGGTGAACTAACTAAATAAAAGTTGATCTGATTTAGGTGGATGAATTACAAAGAGGTCTGCAAAGATGTATAAAAGATGTCAGGGTCATATCCCACGTTTATGGGCAAATCAGTAGAATTTTATTGGGAAGATTGTGAGGAGGCCAGGAGTTCTTTGTCCTTCGTCTTCTTTGTGCCCAGCAGAGCTTCTGGCCCAGCACAGCTTCTGATCGGCTGTGAAGATTTTTTGGAAAAAGGCTGCTTTGGCAGCACAGCGCGAGGACCCTCACGGTGTGACTGAAGGTCGGCTGGAGCGGCCGTTTTGTGGCTGGCTCCGCCTCCCGCAGTGGCCGTTTTGTGGCAGCCGTTCTGTGGCTGTGCCCGCGCAGTGCTGTGTCAGAATGCCAAAGGTGCTGGCGGGCTCACAAAGGCTGGGGGACCCCTGGATTAAGGCATATGAAACATTGGGAGAAGGGGGAGGGGTTCCCAGTTGACATCTGCCCCGCCTCCATCCCATCACACTTACGCAGAGGGTCCCAGGAGGTAGACCCTGACTGACCTCCGCTGTTCATCCGTGTGCTGGGGGCAGCGCAGAGACCTACCGGAAAGGAACACACGGGGCAAGGTTAGAGGTTGGGGACGTGCAGCGGATGGGCGCGTCGCCTGTCCCCCCCCAACCCACTGCTCATTATACTAAACCCCCTTAGTGCTCTAGAAAGGGGGGCATGGCAGTGCCAGGCAGTGAGTGCGGGAGGACGCAGCGAGGGGCATCCCAGGAAAACACTTGGCACCAGTGTTCCCTCTAAGCTGACTTAGTGTGAGCCAGCTCACAGTTTTTTAGCCTCCGGCTGACACATTTTTGTCTTAGCTCGGGAAGGAGGGCTCCAGAGGAAACTAATTTATGCAGCAGCCAAACTGCTTGCTCACAACTTTAACGCCAGTAGCTCATTTTTGCTCACAGGACTCCACAGCTTAGAGTGAACATTGCTTGGCACCCTGACCCTGTAACATTCCCCCACCACCACCACACTTATTATGCAGCAGTACAGAAACTGGAACCAGACACACAATTCAGTAGCCTGAGAAGCTCAATTTTTTCTTTTTTCTTTGGCTGCAAAATTAAGCTTGCCAGCAGGGGACTGCAGAACGTGGAGGGAGAATTCCCAGTTATTGGGGGCACAGAAGTCCATCAGTGGCTATTAGCCACCAGGTAATAGAGAGGAACTCTCAGTCTGGAGCAAGGGATGCTCTGTATTCTTGGTGCTGGGAGGGGGGAAGAGCATCAGTGGAAGGGGCTTCTGGTGTCCTGGACCCACTGCTGGATCTCCTGATGGCACCTGGTGTTTTGGGCCACTGTGTGACACAGAGGGTTGGACTGGATGGGCCATTGGCCTGATCCAACATTGGCTTCTCTTGTGTTCTTATGTTCACAGGGTTTCAAGGGACTGCTCATGAGTGGTGGGAGCAGAGCAATTACATTAATTCTTTAAAAAATTATTCGACTTTTTAGTCACCACTCACCCAAAGGGCTTCGTGGTGACTTACAACATTAAAACCAATAAGGTAAGAACGTAAAAACATACCACAAATATAAAATAACATTAAAACATTAGGATACATGGCTATCGCCATCCCTCTATTAAAACAGCTCAGGCATGTGGTCACCCTCCAAAGGCCGACCTAAACGATTCAGTCATCCGAGAGTGCATTCCACAGGGGAGGGGGCCACACCTGAGAAGGCCCTTCCCCTGGTGGCAGCTCAGTGAGCCATCCTCGGGCCGGGCACCTGCAAGAAGCCCCTAAGCGATGACTGAAGGGAGAGCAGGGGGTTGTAATGGGAGAGGTGGTCCCATAGGCATGAGGGTCCCAGACCGTTGAGGGTGTTGTTGAGCTTCATTTGCAGAGTTTATACAGCCTACAGAATGGTTCTTTCCCCTTGCAAGTACTAAGCATGGTACAGCGCGACATCTGTACCAGTGTTAAGCAAGAGTTTGCAAGCCAACTGCTAGTGCCGACTACGGTTAGCATCAGCGCAGATGTAATGGTATAACCACAGAACAAAGTTAAGAGTCTAATTGGCACCTTTAAGACTAACAAAGGTTTATTCAAGGCATGTGCTTTTGTGTGCAACCTTTGTTGGTCTTCAAGGTGCCAACTGGACTCTTAACTTTGTTCTACTGCTTCAGATCACCTGGTATAACCACGGTTGAGGGTTAGCCCGGATTAAGAGGTGGGTGAGGCTATATCAGCGCCACTCTTACACTTATGCAACATTTAACTCCCTCAGCCAAGGGCCCAAACCCAAGAGCTACTTGGCAGTTGTTTAGGAACGTAAGCAACTCCCAGCTGTGAGTCACCTGAAGAAGTTACAGCCCCTGACACATCCCAGAGCCCAACATTACCCCCCCCTTTCCACGGCCACTCAACGTTCTGTGCGAAAGGGAAGGATGACAAGTCTACAAATATCTGAAGGGCTGTCGTGTAGAAGATGGAGCAGATCTATTCTCTCTTGCTCCGGATTGCAAGACCAGATCTAATGGGTGGAAATTACAAGGGAGTCAAGACCGGCTAAATATCAGGAGAAACTTCCTAACTGTCAGAGTGGTTGAGCAGTGGAACAGTCTGCCTCGGGAGGTGGTGGATGCTCCTAAGACCATCTTTCGGGTATGTCGTAGGGCCATCTTTCGGCTGTGCTCTTGCAGAGTGCAGGGGGTTGGACTAGATGACCTGCAAGGTCCCTTCCAACTCTAACCTTCTATGATTCTATGATTCTAAGTCTCATGTAAGAAGCTCTGAAGCACCTTTGGGCACATGCTCTCGAAGGCTGCATCTGTGGCGACAGAACGGTTAAAAAAGAGGGCTTGGGAACAGCGACAGGTCTGGTCGCCTGTGAAAAGCTGAGTCTCTCTTCCAAAGAGACAGGCAGGGAGGATTCTGATAGGTTATCCAAGAAGTGATTCTCTTTCGCAGAAAAGAGTCCCATGGAAGGTGGCAAAAAAGAGATTTGAGAGCTAGAACTTTTTGGCGGTCTTGTTTGCAAGGTTAATGACATGGGGGGGGATTTCACCCCCCCCTTATGCTTTCCATACCAACCCATTTGCAATTCATTTCACTGTTAGCTGTGAAAGAGACTCGTCCAGGTGGTGTGTGTGTGTGTAAAATGCCATCAAGTCGCAGCTGACTTGTGGCGACCCTGTAGGGCAGGGGTATCAAACATGCAGCCTGGGGGCCGGATCAGGCCCCTGTAGGGTCTCCCTCAGGCCCGCAGTGGAACTGGCCGTCTCCGGCTTCCAGTTTTGCTGCTACATCATCACTTGCTTTGCCAGACTCTCTTAATCACTCAGCCATTTCATGTTTTCCCCTGGGTCCTAGACCCAGAACTCTGAGCGTGAGATTTCTGTGGAGAACGTCAATAAAACAATAATAGGTTTGCAGCTTACAAAGCTAACGTTTTAAGCATGTTTTTATTTTAAGTTAAAAAAAGCCCTTTCTGTTTGTGTCCTTTTGAAAGTTTATATCTCTGCTACCTGACGTTACATTTTATGACACACATGGCCCGGCCCAACAAGGTCTCATTTATGTCAGATCCAGCACTCGTAACAAATGAGTTTGACACCCCTGCTGTCAGGTTTTCAAGGCAAGAGATGTTCAGAGGGGGTTTGCCGTTGCCTGCTTTTGCACAGGGACCCTGATGATCCTTGGCGGTCTCCCATCCAAATACTAACCAGGGCTGACCCCGCTTAACTTCCGAGATCTGACGAGCTCCAGCTAGACTGGTCATCCGGGTCAGGGCGCACCGTGGTGGGGGCCAGTTTGTGAACGCACGCCTCTAGAACCTCCGCCCCTTCTTGAACTTCCAATGAACATTTCTTGCACTGAATATTAATGTTATCAGATGGAGGAAGTTGTGTCCAACAATCACTGATGATCAGAATTCTCGCTCAGCCACCCCTCAGGAGGGGTGATTGTGAATATACCTGCCCCCCAGGGCACGGTAATCATTAATACTGACAAAGGAATAGAAGGAGAGGAAATAGGGAAGAGGTTGCCAGCTAGATAGCAAGCAAAGGTAGAGGTTTTCCTTGCTCAAAAGCCAGTCGAATCCAACTCTACGGGGTGGTGCTCATCTCCGTTTCCAAGCCAAAGAGCCAGCGCTGTCCAAAGAGGTTTCCATGGTCATGAGGCCGGCGTGACTAGACACCGAGGCACACGGAACGCTGTTACCTTCCCACCAAAATGGTACCTATTTATCTACTTGCAATTTCTTGCTTTTGAACTGCTAGGCTGGCAGGAGCTGGGGCCAGAGACGGGAGCTCACTCCGTCACGCGGCACTTGGGTCTCAAACTGCCGAACTACACACCTTCTGGTCTGCAGCCCAGTGTCTTGACCTCTGAGGCAACGCAGAGATGGCAAGCAACTGCTGCCTAATATCCAGCCGACACTCCTGCCCCACTGGCATTTGGGCCTTTGAGTTGGCAGGAAGATCAGCCCGGAGAGAGAGACACTCCATCACGCGGCACTCGGGTCTCAAACTGCCGAACTACAGACCTTCCGGTCTGCAGCTCAGTGTCTTGACCTCTGAGGCAACACAGAGATGGCAAGCAACCGCTGCATAATATCCAGCCGACACCCCTGCCCCACTGGCATTTGGGCCTGGGCGTGCCCAAAGGCATGAACCAAACGGCCCTTGTCCTCCACGCTGCAGCTTTGAGTTGGCAGGAAGATCGGCCCGGAGACAGAGGAAGACCTGCTCTGCACTCAGCGAGTCCCCCTTCCCCCCTTTCTCTTGTCGATTTCTATTGTATTTTCTCTGTTGTACTGTTGGTCACTTTCGGCCCGCATTGGAAAAAGAAGCAAGAGACAAACAGATAAACGAGGTCCGTGGACCCAAGAAAGGGGGTGAGCGGCACTCACCGTGTGCACATCTTCTTGGTATGTTCAGAGATCACCCCACATTCCTAGACAGGGGGAAGGAAACAGACAGCATGAGGAAATATAAAAAGTCAAAGGAAACACCCGTGTCCCAGGAACTCAATGGTACGACAGAAGTAGACCAACTTCTTGCAGCCAATATGATAACCAGCTCACAAGGAGTTTAATATTGAGAAGTTCCAAATAACCTCTGACTGTGGGACAGACAAGAGCGATACACGAAATCAGCCAGAGAACTAAAGATCTCGAGCTACAAACACATATCTATTCTGCTAGGAAATATTACTATATAGCCCATTCAACTTAGCAAATTATTTAGGAAATCTCACAGTACCAAAAAGATCAGCTTTTTCCCAGGCGCATTTTAATGTTCTCTCTTCAGTGCTTCTAAAAGGAAGATACCCCCCCCCCAATCCAATATCCTTAATGAACTTGTCCTTGTGGTTACCAAGAGGCTGAATCAATAGGGCATGTCCTATTATACTGTCCTTTTTACAAAGACATGCATGATGACCTTTTGTCTCCGTTATTAACGAAAATTCCCAGGAACAGATGTTTTTTTTATCTTGCTGTTCTCCTACGGTGAACGTCGCAAAGTATTGTACTAAAGCAAGATCTTTCCAAGCCTCATTGGAGAAACAAAATAGACATTGCACTTTTAAAACGTTAACGCTCTAACAAGGACTCTTAGTAGACCTATTCGTAGTGTTGCTTTTTTTATCTTAACGTTAATTGGGTTAATTTCTGCTGGTCGCTGACCACCACCACCACAACAACAGTAAATAAATAAATAAATAAATAAGTGACACCCTGTGAGCTTCGAAGTCCTCACCCACGGAGGAAGCTGGCTGCAGCATCTCTGCGTGAGTCACTGCTCTGACCTTGCCTCCTTCCTCTCAGCCTCTGCTGGAGCAACCACCCCCAGTTGATAGATAAAGCAGAACCAGGGGTCATTTCCTGCAGGAGCACACAGGAGCGGAGCTCCGGCAGTAAGGAGCACATGCAACAAGCCCCACCCCCTGCTCCCAGCAGGAGGAGCAAGAAGCAGCCAGGTAAGTTGCAGAGCCCCCCCCCCGGCCCGCCTTCAG